CTCCCCGTGGACACTGAGCCACTGACCTCAACTCTCTGGGTCAACTATCCCACAGGCACACAGGATTTGCCTCCAGGGCATTTCAGACCTGGAAGTGCCTGTGACCAGGCATATGTTTATTTACACAAACATATAAACACATGCAGGATCCAAACTGTCCTGAAGTGGTAGTTCCATGCTCCATCAGTTCCAGAGGAAGCAAAGGGGCTCATACTTTTCTACAGGCTATTCCAAGATTCCCTTGCAAAGGAATCACACCAGTTTTGTGCCGGAGCTTCTGCTGTGCTGTGGGGCTGTGGGTGCAGGTGTGCCTGGCACTCTCTGCTGCCCTCCTGGGACTAGCTTCATGGAGGTCTGAGTAGAGCTGTGCTTTGGAGCACAGAATCAATTGACTCTTGAACAGAAAGTCCTGCTCAGCTGTAGAGCCCCTTCTGCCAGGCCCTGTGCTGAGCTCATTGTGTTCCCCAGACGTGTCCCTTTGCCATGCCTAACCCTGACCTGTGCTGTACATCAGGGGATGTACACAAAAGCAGCACATACACAGGTGTCTCCCTCCAGCCAGCTGCACGTTCCAGGTCTTTGAGTTCTTATTTGGATTAATCCTGGGGTCCTTCCTCTAGGTGTTGTAACAAAACAGACTGATGTCCTGCCAAATGCTCCACACTGCCCAGAAGCCTAATGACCAAGCCCAGAAGCTGTCCTGGGTAGCCTCAGTCACCTCCCAGTGCCTTTGGCAGCCTCCCTGCATGGCCAGCCAGGCCAAAGCGGCAAATGTGTCTGTGCTGAAGAGGAGTGCAGGTCCTTCGGTTACATCGTGAGGGTCTGGATGTGCCAGATCAGCAGGGTCAGCAGCTGAAGCTCATTCACAGCAATTGGCTACCTGCATTGGGCAGGCTCAGTCTGCCCTCCCTGAGGCAGGTGTCACTCCCTGGTTGACAGTGGGACTACTCCTGCAAATGTGGGGTCACATCCAAACTTCAGCATGACCCTCCCCATGGACTGATCACCACTGAGCCCGGTTTACTCACAGTGATTATCAGTATGACCTGGAAACAATTCCATGGTCCTCTTGTGGGGATCCTCCTCCTCAGGGCTCATGTCTTCTGCCTCCCATTGGCTGGACACCTTGAAGAAGCTGCTGCAGCTCCCGTAGGCACAACACTGGTAGGCGTAAGGAACCTCCAGGACTCTGCACAGGGGGAAAGCAGAACTTTTAGAGGTGTCCTCCATGACCTAACTCTCCACTGCTTTGCACTTCTGGCTTAATTCCAACATGTGACAAAAGCTGGTCTGTCTGGTGATGGTCCCTCTGTGCTCTGTGAAGGACTCCACGTAGGGCAGCATGGACCCAAGGCACCCCATGCATGCAGTCTCTGCACTGCACCACTTTGGGTGCTTAACCCACTGTCAGTCAATAGGATGTTATCAAACACCAGGTTTGGAAACTGCTCTAAAGTTCCTGGATAATTCCTAACAACCTGCCTGCAGTTCTGCCCCTCTGTTCCATGTCCCCTCCAACATGCCATTTGCAGTTTTCGGTTCTAATTGGGGTAAAAACTGAAGACCATGTTAAAACCATAAAAACACGAAGACCATGTTTTTCTGGGCATCCTTTCTTTCCTTCAAGGTGAGAAGCTTCCCAAGAGCTTGAGCAAGTGCAAGGTTCCCCTTGCCTGTTGCTCAGGGCAGCAGCTCCAAACTCTGGTTCCAGGAGTGTGGCTCCCCCCTGCTAGCTCAGGAAGGGATTTCTCAGGTCTCCCAAGTGAAGCAAGTTATTTTAAAATGTCTGATTTCTACTTGAAAGTAAAATTGTTAGTTGCTAATTACAGCAGTATTCCAAGGTTAATTCAACAGCAGCTGAGCATCATCTGGATGCAATACCAGCCTGTCTGTCAGCTGCTGCATTTTTGGCTTTGCTGGAAGTCAGGGAGACTGTTGATGAAGGCAAAGGAACCTCAGGTTTTCCAGACAATTAAGGTCTTCTGACAAGATCAGTAAATATGGTGAAACTGTATATTCTAAAAATATGCTTTTGTTTTATGTTCCCAAACATTTCTGGCCGAGCCCTGGGAGGCTATGGAAACTCTGTATACAAGCTTGTTTCCTGTTATAAGGTCCAAATTATATCCTATTATTGAAAGGTGGTAGGGAGGTGCAAACCCTCCCAGGAAGGCTCAGAACTGGTCTCAGATGATTCCTCCAGACACATGCCCCAAGAGTAAGACTATGTCATGGCAGGACCCCAACATTTAGGGAATGTTAATGGGTCCATTGCCTGGCATGGTTCAATGAACCACTGCTGCAGGCTCAGTCTCTCTGGTACAAATCCAAACCAGCTCCACAGATGCCAATGGAACTAGTTTAGAGGAGAAACAACCTGGAAGTGCTGAACTTGACCCTCCCTGCACAAGGGAATGCTGTTGGAGCGGGGCCAGAGGTGCTCTGAGGGCTGGAGTCTCTCTGCTCTGGAGCAAGTCTGGGAGAGCTGAGGGTGTCCAGTGTGGAGAAGAGAAGCTCCAGGGAGACCTTAGAGCCCTTTCCAGTGCCTAAAGGGGCTCCAAGAGAGCTGCAGAGGCACTTGGAACAAGGGCCTGGAGGGACAGGACAAGGGGGAATGGCTTCTCACTGGCAGAGGCCAGGGACAGATGGGATATTGAGGAGGAATTCCTCCCTGTGAGGGTGCTGAGGCACTGGCACAGGCTGCCCAGAGAAGCTATGGCTACTCTACCCCTGGAAGTGTTCCAGGCCAGGTTGGCCAGGGCTTGGAGCAACCTGGGCTAGTGGAAAGTGTCCCTGACCATGGAAGGAGTTGGGATGAGATGAGCTTTAATGTCTTCTTCCAATCCAATCCAGTCTGTGATTTCATGATTTTGGGTGTGAAAAACCCTCCAAAAGCTTCTAAAATCCTCAGCCACTTGGACACCAGTCATGCAGCAGGTCCCACCTGTGATGACTCAAAAAAGTCAGAAAAGAAAGCCCTGCAGGCATCATTGCTGAGGCAGATTGAAGTGAGAACTCCACACTCTTCACCAGGCCTGAGCTATTAAGCCCAGTGTTGGTGCAGTGACCCCAGCACTGGGTCTCTTAATTGGAGAAGCTCCAGCCTTGTGACCCTATACTGGATGAGTGGGAGGATTAGCTCATGCATTCTTGGCTCCAAAGGAACTACCTGGGAGACACAAGCAAAGATGACTTCACCTGAGGGAGTTTGTGTTCTCTGGACCATGGGCCCCTCAGCCTGAGAGCAGGTGGCACCCTGGAGACCCACCAGTGCAGTAGAGTCAGGAGAGTCAAAGCCTCAGCAAAGCAGTGTGCTCTGAGCCTTTTGCAGCCTCGTCTTGCTCGGTTTGACCCCTTCAGGCTCCTCATTAATCCACAGCAGACAAGACATGGCCACACAAACAGAGTTTACTAAAGGAAACCTGGATATCATTATCTGAGACTGCTTCTGGGAATGTTTTCCACTGAGAGGAGCCCTGAGCTGGGCCTGCTCCATGCTTTCCACTTGTGTGTATTTGGGGTGGGGGCTGCAGGCCTGGGAGTGCATCACTGCTCTCCCATGGAAGATGTTAAAAGATGAGGTGTGTTAACAGCAGATGAAGCTTCCTCAAGCCATTGGCCTGAAAAAATGGAGAAGGCATGAGATTGACCAGGAGAGCAGGAGGCTGAGTGCTGTAAGCAAGTACAGGCTGCTCTGAGCACCAGAAATGGAAGAGCCAACACACCCAATACCTCATGTTGGGGAAGCTCTCCTTGGTGAAGGGCTCCAAGAGAGATGGATTGCCTTGGAGCTTCAGATGGGTCAGTCCAGCCAAACCATCCAGAGGCAGTGTGACCAGCTGGTTATCAGTCAAGTCCCTGGTGGAGGGAAAGCAGAGAGGGAGACCGAGGTCAGGGTTCTGCTGCCAGGGGGATCTCGGCCAAGCAGAGGCTGGAAAGCTCTGCTGCCTGCCCTGCCTGCCCCCTCAGTGTGAGGAGCCTCTGGACATATGCAGATTGAGACTGCAATCCCTGGGGAAATGAGGGATGGGGGGTTAATACCCATGCTGAAAGCTCTGGGTGGTATGTCCCTCCCTGGGCACATACCTGCCCCATGCATCTCTTCCTCAAAATAGGTCAGGTATGACTGCAGCTCCCAGCACACGAAGTACCCAAGAGTCTTAGTCTCTGGGGACCCTCCAGAGCCAGCACAGATAGGCTGCAGTGGCTCTCACTGGAACAGTCCATCATGCTAATCTATCAAAAGGGCACCTAAGACAGGTATGAAAGCATCAGAAAATGGAGGTTTAAGTGTTCAGCGTGAGAGCACAGTGAAGGTGGTCCCTCCTGTTCCTCATCATCCCTTTAATACTGATAGGAAACCTTAGGACTTGGTCTGCCCATGTCACCTCAGCCTTCCAGCATCTAAATCCCAGGTGTCCTGGTAGCCCAGGGAGTCAGTCTGAGGTCCTCAAATAACTCCTGCCCATGACCCACTGTGAAAGAAACATCCCTGTGACTTACAGCTTGGTGAGTGAGTGCAGTGTCACAAAGGCTTCCGGGTGAATAAACTGGATGTGATTCCAACTCAGGTCTCTGCAAGGCAAGGACACACCAGTAAGAAGGGAGCAGAGCAGGACAGTGAAGCTGCTGACATCAGCCTGGCTGAGGGGTTCAGTGGGAGCAGATGTGGGATCTGCAGCCTCTTATCCAGCAGCAAGTTCTGTCCCATTGCAGCTCCCTGGAGACAGGTATGTTTGAGTTTATAGACGGGTGGTTTCTGACAGAAGACACAAGAGTTTGCCTTGCAGGACCTCCTCCATTGAGACCAAGGGCAAAGGTTCCTTTCTGGGTTCATTTCTGAAAGTTTGGGGATTTTATGCTTACCCTCAGAGCAGCAGACAGAGCCTTAATGCTAGAGCAACCCATATGCAGTCACAGGGCTGGGTGCAGCAAGGGCAGATAGGGCCAGGGGTGTGTGGAAGGTGAGCCAAGGTGATTTTAGAATGTCTCCTGCCATGTGCAGGTGGTTTGGATTCACTGAGATGACTCAATACACTCTAAAAAACCTGCTGAATGGCTCTGCTCACTTTGTCATCAGAGGAGAGGAACCACCGTGCCAGGCAGCATTTATTCCCCTCAGGCTAACTACACCAGCAATCTCCTACCACATCTTCATCTCTCCAGCTCTGATAGAGTCAGGGGTACCTGCTCAGATGTGTGTGAAGCTGGGAGAGACAAATTCTCCCCACAGGGCCAGAACATGCCCAAAGGCAGTGCCAGAGCTTGCAGGCTCAGCTGTGGAGAGGAACCACCGTGCCAGGCAGCATTTATTCCCCTCAGGCTAACTACACCAGCAATCTCCTACCACATCTTCATCTCTCCAGCTCTGATAGAGTCAGGGGTACCTGCTCAGATGTGTGTGAAGCTGGGAGAGACAAATTCTCCCCACAGGGCCAGAACATGCCCAAAGGCAGTGCCAGAGCTTGCAGGCTCAGCTGTGTGGCTGTGGTGTGGCAGCAGCATGTTTGGGTTCCGTGTCTGCAGTGTTCCACGTGATGTGTGAGTGTTCCTGTGCATTGGAGACACAGTGTACGTGATCACGGGATCTCCAGGAATTCTGGGCTATTACATGACACTCAAATTGCTCCATCATGGGAAAAGCTTTTTTTTGCAATTTAGTTCACTTCCTAACAGAACAGCAAATAAAGACCAGCAGGACTCTTCCTCTTCCCACGTGCCACATGGACAGTTGTGCCCTGCAGAGCCTCAGCAGCTCTCAGAGGTGCCAAGCATTTGCATGCTTGGGTGCACTTGGTGTGCTGAACATAAGCTGTGGGGAGACAGTCCCAAACCAAACAGAATGTTCTGTATGGGTATTCCAGAACGGCACGGCCCAGGACCAGCCTGTACAGGGCAGTGGGTGCTGGAGATGGTGCACACCAAGGCAAGTCCCTGCCACGAGTCCCTGTCTGCACAGGCATTTAGGAGGCATGTCCATAGCATGGGCTGTGCCGTGCCAGAACTGCAGTGTGTGGCTAGAGTATGTGCAGTGTCCGTGCGTGGGCAGCGAGGCAGCAGGTCATAAGGGCACTTACAGGGGGTCTGCAGACACAGAGAGAGCCAGAAGGAAGGTCTGTGACTGTTCTGAGGAGGAGTGGAAGACCAGAAGGAAGGTTTGTGACTGTTCTGAGGAGGAGTGGAAGAGGGGCTCTACAGCAAAGCCTCCCAGCAGACAGAGGGTTGGGAAGCTCCCCCAGCCTGGCTGGGTGCTCACAGTTCCCCTTCCCCCAGCAAATCCCAGTGATCTGCTGCCAGACAATACTTGCATGGAGCGTAGAGCCATCAGCTGCACAAAGGTGTCTGCTCTGATTTCATGGATCCTGTTGTGCTGGAGGCCACTGGGAAAACAGAAACTGGTGTGAGAAGATAGCTAAAGGCTGCATTCCTACATTGCAGGGATCTCTGTCCCAAGGCAGCAGGTGTACTGTCACAGTGGAGCTTATTATTTGCTCTTGGGAGACCTACTCTTATTTCAAGAGGTAACAGGATGAGCAGCAGAACCTCTCAAAGCCATTCTGTCCCACAGGCAGCTCCAGGCTCAGACAGCCTCTGCTTTTGATGTCATCATGGCTCAGTAAAGTGCCATCAATGTGCTGTGCTTAAAGGTGCTCTGGTACCTCCAGAGCTGTGCTGGTTCTCTACTCTGCTCTGCCCTACACCCACAAACTGCTTCATCCAGAGCAAAAGCAGAGAGCTTGGAGCTAGTGATCAGCAACCAGCTCTGTGTGACCCTTCAGGAAGGACCATGTGGTGCTGCCCTTTGTCCTGGTGAGGGTGAAGGGGGTTTGAGGGCTGAAGGTATCTCAGCATTTCATGAAGGAAAATCCCAATGTCTTGTTGAACCCACCATCCACATCTGCACATGAAGTGCCTCAGCCCTCCACACCTTTCCTCCTGCACCCCCCAGGGAAGGGAAGGGGCAGGGTGGGAGCTCACACAGACTGTTCTGACTGACCTACACACTCCCCACACCCCCAAGAGACAGCTAGAACTGCTCCAACCATTCACCTTGTGGGAAACATTCACAGTTTTCCAGCTGGTACAGAACAATGGTGAATACTTATTAAAATTCCTGCAAAGATGAGCATCATGAATTCCCAGACCTGCAGAAGTTCTGTCCCTACATGTGACCTCCTGCAAGGGGACACAGCTACTGCCTGGGTGGTTTTTGGGTAGTTAACCTGCCTTTAGGCTCAGAAATAATCTTGACTCATTTCACACAAGGACCTGCATGTGGTGGCTGTGGTGTCTCAGCTGGTAATTGGCCACATGTTCCTGTTCCAAAGGTTGGGGCTCAAGGCTCTCCCACCTGCTCTGCTGCTGGTCCCTCAGTGCCTCATGGAGACGGGAGGGCATCGCTCCTACCTCCAGCTGAGATTTCAAGCACCTCTGGGCACAGGTTTGGGGGTGTCACAGAGGAGGAGAGGTGGGGTTTGGGCAGAAGCATAATGCAGCAAGAGAGAGAAAATAACTTGGGGATGTTTAGCTGCACCTGTGTGGTGCAGGTGAGAACCTGCTTGCTGGCAGGTACAGCAGAGCCAGGGCACACCTGAGCTGTTTGAGTGCCAAGTTGTACCACCACACACCACCAGACTGTTTCTAATGTGTTTCCCAGCAGGAACGGTGCTGCCTGGTGGGGGTGGGGCCTACAGGGTGATAACTTTAGAGTTAGGGAACAAATATTCATTTTGTAAGACAATATTAATTTTAGGCACAGTCTGTGTGACTTGAGTAGCCTGAAAAGGATTCATTGTGGGGTTATGTTAATGTTAAATCTGAATTTGGTGTATTATAAAATATTTTAAGAAGAAATGTAGGCAGAATGCAGGAAATTACAGGTTTGGAATTCTGAATGTTTGCCCTGGTTTTGATGGACTTTATATTTTTTTCAAGCATTTTCCTGGCTGTACTTTAGATAAAACTACATCCAGCACTAACTGTGTCCTTACAGCTCCTGCAGAGGCAGCAAGGAGTGCAGAATTCTCGTTTTCCTGTGGTTTCACAGTGTCCTAATGCCCAGTCTGCTAAGGCTGGTGAGCTGGTCTGGCCATTCAGGCTGGGATAGTGCAGAGAGCAGGGATAACCTCTGCAGTGTTTGTTTTATGAGGATGCTGCTCCCATACATCTCTTCTTCCAGGCTGCACAATTCTATAAAAAATCATGGAGTCTATTTTCTCTTTTTCAAAAAGGCCAAGTACTTCTGTTCCATTGGGAATGCAGGGCCTGATCTCCAGACACTTTGAGCTGAGCAAGGATAACTTTGTCTCAGAGCAACAGCAGTGCCTCCCAGGGCCCAGAAGACCCAATCCAAGTGCTACACCTGAGGAAAGCATCTATCTTCTCTGAGGAGCTCCTGGGCAGTGTGGGTAAGAGCTGCTTTGTGCCCATGGCATGGGATCCCTCCTTGAATCAGAAGAAATTTATAGTAGAGATAAACTCCATTCTTGATTAGCTCATAGTGAGGCTTGAGTTGGTGAAGCAAATTCAGTGGTGTCACCTCTAATTCTGTTGACTGAGGCTGAGACCTCTGAAAAGATCTGTGTGAATTAAGCTCCTGTGCACAGGGGGTTTATTTTCATTGTGTATTTGCACAGCGTCAAAGAGTGGAGCTCTGGTTCATCTGCAGCCCAAGCAGTGAGTTATCACCCCCAGCTTTCCTCGTGCTTGGGGAAGGCAGAGTTTTGTGTGTGGAACTGCTTCTCTCCTCAAAGCAGCCATTTTCCCCCAGAGCATGGTGCAAGTGAGGATATGTCCATACTCACAGCTCCTCCAGCCGCTGGCACCGGTGGAAACTGGGCAGCTCTTCAATTTGGTTGTGTGACAGCTCTCTGCAGGGGAAGGACAGGACAGGAACATTAGGAGATCCAAACCCAGTGTTCCTGAGCCCTCCCTTGGAAAGCAGGTACTGCTGGAGAGCGGGATGACCCCAGAGCTGCAGAAACCCCAGGTGAGGGGGATCTCCACCCTGCACACAACAGATGCTGGCTCTGAGCATCTCAGTGCAAGGCCAGGATTCCTCAGGGGTTTACCCACTCAGCCAGCCCCAGCCCAGCTCCCTCCTGCACAGTCTGTGGACTGACAGAGCTGCCTCTGCAGCCAGGGTGAGCTTGACCTCCCTAGCCCCAAGTCAGCTGTGAAACCCATCCATGCCATCTCCTGCCATGCACAGCCCTGCTTTCCTGTGGGCAAAGCAGAGAGGTGTTTGTGCCAGAGGTCCTGTCCTGCTGCTGTGAATGGGAGCTCACAGAAGCTGCAGATGTCCCTGCAGAGCCCAGGGAGGTTTTGACCAGCTGCTACCCTCTCTCCTGGCACAACAAACCAACTGCCCATGGCCTACTCCCCATTCAGCCTGTCCTGGTTTCCCCCCAGTGTTAGGGAAGGGGTTGTGGCACTGGCAGGGATTTCGTTCAGGACATTACAGAATCTGAAGACCTCTGGTCCCTGTTCTTTCAAGTGCTGCCATTTGAAACCAGTTCCCAGCAAACTCCTCTTCCCACTGCTTCATGGCCCAGGATAGAGTGACTTGGTAGTCAGAGGAAAACACATCCTGGCACAACTTGATGTGGATTTATTGAAGTTGAAATAGGCTGGGTAAGGAGCAATGTTTAAACCCAGCTCTTTCCCCATCAGCAGAGGATTTGTGGTTGTTAAAGGGAAATTTGCCCCAGGGTAAAGTTTTGTATGTGGCTTCTCTGCCGACTTTCCAAACTTGGTTTCCATGTTTCTGCCAATAAGTTGCTGCTAAAAATTTTTTTTTTTGCCAACCCCCTCACCACCAGTTTTCCATGGTGGAGGGGAGGAGGGAGGGAAAAGCAAGCAAAAGGTTTGTGCTTGGCTCTGGGAGCTTTCAGCCAGAATGGAGAAAGAGCCATAGCATCAGCCACTTTTCTCTGGTTCCTGTGTCAATCCATTGGGCCTGACAGGGCAGTGGCTTAGCTAACAGTGATGGGGGGAGAAGCAGCTCTGGGAGTTATTTCTCACTCCTCCAGACAAGGGTAACCAGATCCAGCCCAGTCAGTCACTGATGCTGTGTTGGGGACACACCAGGATGAAGGTGCAGGTGGCATCAAGGGACTTCAGCTCTTCTCAGGGGAGTTTCGCCTATTTCTGCTTGAGAAGAAAGACGAATCTTCCAGAGCTCAAGGAGCATTTAACCAATGCTCTCAGGCACATGGTGGGGTTGTTGGGGTTGTCTTGTGCAGGGACAGGAGTTGGACTGATGATCCTTGTGGGTCCCTTCTGATTTTCCACGATTCTGTGAAATCTGTGCCCTGAGCAGAAGTTCTGGATGAAAGCAGCAGGATGATAGGTTGATGCCAAAGGCTGCCCTGCCTGGTGTGCTGGTCTCAGTTCCCACACAGAGACTGTTCCAATGTGGCCACGACCCTCTGTTCCTGCCATGGCTCCTACAGCCCCTGTGCAGGGTTTCTGCAGAGAATCCACAGCACGCTGTGAGGCCAGAAATGTGGTGTTAACTGTGTCATCTCTAATCAGATGTGTCACAGTCATAACAGCAACCTGACAGGATGCCAAGAGGTTGGTTGACAAAGCAGGGACAGGAGACCAACACATTGCAAAGGCAAGAGGGATGTAAACATGCACAGACATTGGCCCACATACTGTCTCCAAACTCTGCGAGCAATGCAATTAACACCAGGAAAGTTCACTAGGGAAGAGGAACAAGGAACAAGGTGGGGTGACCCAATAAATCTCTCCCACAAGGAGAGGGCAGGCACGGAGAACAGGCTTTGCTTTCAGGGTTTACAGTCTGACAAGTTACAAACATAAACAGAGGTTGGGACCCAACAGCCTGAGTGAGTCCAAAGGCTATGCTTTCATGGCAAGTTGTCCATTGAATTGGTCCAGATGTCCAAAGATGAGAGATCTTCCCTACAGGGACAGCTGGAGCCAAGAGGCTGTGATCTGCTAAATTACAAATTATGTTCTTCTATTTTCATGTTTTACTCTTGTTTCCAATTTTTGTGATCAAGAATTCACTCCTGTTCCTTTCCTGGAACAAACTTGTTTTCTTTTGCAGCTTGCTTGTATAATGACTGATGAGAGGCAAACCTCCTGCCTGCCCTAAGGCTGCAAACTTGTATAAATCTGGCTCATGACTCATTTCCTGAGGATGTCTTTGATTGCAAAGTTGGGGATCTCAGGAACTAGGGGCGTGGTTCCTGGGATGGTGCAGAAGCCTTTCTGAGATGCTGATTCCCACTGGTGCAGAGGAAGAAGGATGTGCCTGATTTCAGCCCTGAGACCAGAGCATCACACAGGGATGAAGGAGCAAGTTCAAAAACAAGCAGAGCCCAAGGTAGTGCCTAAGAAGGTGGTCATTTCTGCATGGAAAAGATAGTAGGAACAAGAACCACAGGATGGTCTTCCACAGCTGGTCCCTTCCCTAAGCTAGACAAGAGGAAAGCCCAGTTCCTGATGGCATTTCCCTAAGGACCAGGCAGGACAGGGACACATGTTACTCACAGGACTCGGAGGCTGGGCAGCTGCTGGCACATCCCTCTGGGGAGGAAGTGGATGCCTGCCCGCGTCAAGGTCCTACAGGGGTGGAGGAGAGAGAAGAAATGCTGTTACTGAGAGCCAGTGCACAGACTCTGTGACTCATGTGCACAGACTCTGTGGCCCACAAGCACAGCTACTGGTCCCAGATAATGGCAGGAAAGACAATGTCAAAGGGACAATTAAATAACTGGCCAGGATAAAAAAACTGGCTGGCAGTTTTGAGCACAGGCACTGCTGCTGCAGCTGGCAGAGATGAATGTGCCTGTAAGGAGTGCTGGGACACTGCTGAGCACTGAATTCACAGCTTGGCCTTGCTGAGGGCAGTGCCCCCTGCCACACTCTGCCATCCCAGTTCCCCATTGTCCAGGCTGGGGATCTGTCTGGAGTCACAACTGCCTCAGAAACCTGTGTATGAGGGACAGATGGTGTGTCCTTGTGTCTCCCAGACAAGGCACAGCCAGATCCCACTCCTGGGCTGGGGTGCTTGGCTGTGCTCCCAGCTTGGGCATAACGTGGGGACCAGCACACCCTAGAGAGAAGACCTGGGGGTAGTCAGAGAGGGTGTGTCCTCCAAGCCCCTTCACTCCAGGGCTGGTGGTGTGAGTGGGGGACCAGACTGGTGGCAGGAGCCCCAGCCTGGGAGGCAGATGCACTGCACTGCTGTGCTGGTCCTAGTACAGGCAGAGACACAGGAGCTCAGCAGCCCATATTGAAGCACTGTGCTCAGAGGCTCATTCCTTCACAGGTGCAGGAGGGAAGGAAGGAAAAAAACCAAAACAAAGATTGGAGCACACTCAGGAGTACTGAGAGAGCAACTCACAGAGAGGAAAGCTGCGTTCGGGAGCCACAGGGGTGAAACGAAGCAGAGAGGTGAGTGCCCAGGGAGAGGCAGAGCTGAAGACTGCACAGCACTGGGAAACTTGTCCTGGACCGCCTTGAAGGAGGGAGAGCACAGCTAGCAGGGTAAAAAGGAGAGAGGTGCCACTCACAAAACTTCTAGGCTGGTGGTGCCTTTAAGGTCTGGGAATTCTCTGATGTCCGTTGCACCATTGAGTGACCTGCAGAGAAACGAGGGTCAAGTGAGGTGGGCAGAGCACCTGGAGGCAAGTGCAGCTGCCCAAGGTCCCAGACCCATCAGCTATGGTGGCAGATCTGCTCCCTCACACCAGAGATGGTGATCAGAGGCCAAGAGGCAGCGTGTCCCTGCCGGCCGTGGGTGCAGGAGAGTCTGGTGCAGTGCAGATGCAGAGAGCTGGAGTTGGCCCCTTCTGTGCAAGGAGACTTGGCAAGCTCAGAGCCTCCCCCAACCACTGACATTCTTGGCACCATCTCTACCCAAATTAAATAAAAAAATCCAAATTACCATGGGGAGTGTCAGCAGAGCATCCCACCCAAGCCTCCCTGGTCTATGCATTTGGATCTAAAGAATGCAGGGAGATTGGAATGATTTATTTCACCTGCCTGATGTGTTCCTGCAGTGAGAGGTCGGGTGAGGCTTATAAATAGAGATTTTGAGGTTGCCTCTGCCCCAGTATTTGGTGCTGTGCCACAACAGGTTGGCTGAGAAGCCAGCCCAGGCAGCCAACGTGGAACAGCTGTTGTGGGCCAGGTGGTGCCCACCCCATGGTGGTGGCCCCGCAGCAGGCTTAGGGCCACACACGTGAAGGAAGCACTGTCACTGCTGGCTGCCCAGTGGTATTATTTGTGCCACGGTGTTGGGACATGTGTGCCTCCACTTCTCTATCTTGTGGAGGAAAGCAGATGCCTTTTCAGCGTACTTCTGTTGGGCAGCTACACATCAGCCCAGGGTTTGCTCAAGCAGCACACAGCAAAAGCTGTGGCACTTGTGTGCCCTAGAAGGTTCCAGTGCTAGTCAGCTGGGTGGGCAGGAGGAATTAATTCCTGCCTTCAAAATGCCCTTTTCAAAATTATTCTTCCTCAGCAGAAAACATCTGCAGTGTCTACTCCTGCATCACCCCCTCTGGGGCTGGCCAGAGAGGCTTCGTGGTCCTCTCTTGGCACAGGATGCTTGCGAAGATGAAGGGAGGAGGCCACAAAGGTGCTCAGTCCATGGGGCTTGTACCTTGGCTGTGTTACCTCTCTGAGGATGTGCTTGGTGAACTTACAGAGTGTGGAGCTTTGGTAGGTACTGGAAAGCAGATTGTCCAACAAACTGGATGGGATTGTCATAGAAATGGCTGCAACAGGAAAGGAACTGATCAGATTCTGCTGTGCATGATGAGAAAATGCTATTACAGATGAAGAGCCTTGAAGCTACAAGCAGTAAGCTGTGCAGGAGGTGCTGGTTGACCTGTGAGGAACCCTTGCTCCCTAACAACCCCAGGCTTTCCCACCAGCCTGTTTTGGCTGGGCATTGGTACAACTGAGGTCTCCTGCTGCTCTAAATGGGCCCTTTGG